TTCTTCAAAGACCTGATCAAATTTGTGTTAAACATATTTTCATGTCAGCTCAGTCGTTTACAACTTGAACCGTTATCATATTCAAGTGTGGATGCTCGGCCATCTACATCGACAGAACGGAGAGACAACTGCGTTGCCGAGTAACCGAGCCCATCCCGGTCTGACTTCAAAAAACAATGAGTGGGAACTTCGGAATAATTTTGACCTCAATCTTTCTCCGCCTATGATTCTGTTATTTACTGACCATATATTAATGATCAAATAGACTGCAGTATGCACGTGTACAGATGAAGCGAAATGATCCGGGATACATTGTGCAAAGTGGTTTTGGCTTCTTTATTCAAATTCGTTACGGGGAATCTATGCTTCCAAGCAAACATGTACCTTTCGTCCGTTCCGTTTCTTCATTCGCCCACCACACTCGATTACCGGCCCCCGCTCTTTGTCGTGACCGTTGTCCCTGACCTTGATATGGTCTGACTCACCCTGTCCTATTACTATCGTCTGGAGTTGCCTAATCTTATTCGGATCGGTCCTCTGTCTCACCCATTCTCGATTGACATTGTTCATTTCGCCGGTTCAGGCATGCCATCTGGGACTGCCATGATTTGAGGTGTGTTCTTTATGTAATTGTAGCGCATTCGCTATTGTTGGAGCCGAATAAACCCTTAGAACACTTGGACCTGGTTTAGGAGGTTGCGCGGCACTGAACTTTGGCCTGAATAGTCATTTGGATTCAACACGGACAAAGGTTCAGTCACCCCGGTTGAACAGGTCGCACTTAACAAACCATAAATATTCGTTTGGTGAGCAGCAAGTTTTCATGGCTAGCGTTCTGGTTTCCCACTGAAGGTGATCACAGTGTTGTGAGATACTACTCACCAGTGAGCAGTAGGTAACACAGTTGGTGATTATTTTCAACTACCAAAAGTCAACAAAATCACTGAGGGCAATTTGCGGGGTCTCATAGAAGAACTTTCGACCTCTACATTCATTACCCGTCGTGTGGCCAGGAACCGCGATTGTATGTTTTTGATTAGACTTTTGTGTCATGCATACCAAATTGGTGATGTTCCATCTAAAATCCTCAATAAACAATTGTCCTCGACCATCACCGCCTCCTGGAATTATAACCGCAGTTACCAGAATCTGTGAGGACTCAGGGAACAGCACTGAGCACAAAGTGTGAAACACTGTATTGTCAAAGAATCCAACCACCATCTTTTATCCTTCAAGCGCTGGAACGTGATCCGGAATTTCATTGAGCTCCAGAAACCTTCCCTGATTATTATGACGAATAAAATTTCAGCACAAGTCAGTCAAAACAGAAATACTTATCGAACGAAATCAAACTGACCGTATCGTATTATTCCCCGTAAACCTGTTGTGGCTAGCACTCGGACTAGTAATTCGTATTCGTATCGGAATCCGCACAGTATTAGTCCAATCCAGAACTACGACTCGAAATGAAATCAGAACACAGAACTCAACAACGGAATAGAACTGTAGTAAGCGGAAATTTGGAATGTATAAGGATATCGTGTTCAATGAAACAAAGGATTCCATAGTTCATGAGCAATCATCACATCCGCCGCAGCTTGACTGAAGCTCCGGTCTTCTGTAATCACGGCAGGCTTTGTTGAGTAATCGTATGGATATTCTGGATACTTCTGTACTATCTTCAACATTTGTACTGGAATGTAATTCATCTGAAAAAGACTCAAAATAACAGGATTAGTAGGTTCACAACTAGTATCAGGATTGGGAAAATTACAAATTATTTGATCTACATGTCTGCGATGTACCGTGCCATCATCTAGATCCAATATGCGACATACTCTTTGTCCTATATGATCTAGCACAATGCCCCTGGAGGGTCGCAAATCATTACCACGATGATACATGACTTCTGTAGACTCCAAGTGTAGTAGATTGGTTCGAAATACTCGACTCTCGAACAGCCTTACTGGACTGTGCCCCGTAGTTGAATGTATTACGTTGCGGTATCACATCAGAAAGTTATCAACGCCTCTGTCCAGTTGATCGAATGTACTAGGATTGACAGAAGCAATGGCACTCTTCAGTGTGCGCACAGTTTTCGGCTGCACCATTGGATTGTGAATGTCGGAGTGGAGTGAGAACATGCCGACACCTCACGGAGTTTAACCAATCAGTAACTTTTTCGGCAGTAAAATGACTTCCATTATCAGTTACAATGGCATGCGGAACACCTTCTCTACTGAACGTTTTCCTGATTACTTGAATGGTAAATTCTGCACTGAGTGATGTAGTAAAGTACACTTCCGGCCAAAGGGAATGGGAATCGACAATCACCAATGCGTAATACTTGTTGAAGAGTGGACCACAGTAATCCACATGTATTCTTTGCCATGACTCGGAAGATACTGGCCACGGAGATCATTTCGAAGATTGTTTATGAGCTTTGTGCACACAATCAGCACAGGATTTTGCAATACGATTCAGATCATGGTTCAATTCTGACCACCAACATGTGAGACGAGCAAGGGACTTTATCTTCTCAGTGCCAAGATCACCGGAATGTAAGTCGCTCAATTGTGATTCATTGGGACACATCTCCTTTCTGTCAATGCAGTTCTGTATCGATTATCTGGATTCAATTAGAAAAACTCTTAAGTGACAGTCGATTTCATGTTTTTCCCCTGATGAACAGTTAGCGATAGCAACATGCGATTGTTGATTATATCAGGAACTGGCGACTTGGTTTCTCTCATGATTATCCAGTGTCGACGAGTAACTTACGGCCGTTACACAAATACATGAACCACTGTTATGTATGAATAAATAGATAGTATTAAGAAAACACATGTAAAAACGGGTATTTTCTATATTTCGTAACAAGATAATTAGTTATATTGTACCAGATGAACTATTCTGCCGTGAAATCCGTTGTAACATCCTCTAGATATCAGTGCAGATTAGACTGAAATTCATTCAGTTATGATACATGATCAAAGCACTTCATTAGATTAGTTTAACCGCCCGTAAATCTAAAATAGCATGAACAATTCTATTTCCATCCGATTATGCAGCCCGATTCTGGGTTCTATTATTGTTCACTCATAGTGCAGTTTGCACATTGCACTAAACTCCCCTACACTCCCAAACCTCTATTCTTTACCTACCCCGTCCCCTCTTATAAACTGAGGTTTCCATACCTCTCGAAGTATAAAGTTGACATTTTATCTAATTTTCTTAATCAAAGTGGGTCGAAACACTCTCCGATCTAATCAAAACGGGTGCCCAAATCGCGAAGCGTATCAATGAGAGGGCAATGTGTATTGTTTACTGAACCCGAATAGCGGGAGGTAGGGGGCTCAGATATCACTGAATCACACCCAAATAAAATGTCCGCAAGCGGTTACGTAAACGTATCAAGTAAAAACCACAGCAGTTTAACAAACATTAATCAATAGCTGATGCAAATATTTTTTATCATGTATCAGGGTGTGACGAACAGAAGATGAGGTAAACCCCATACTCACAAAGACCTGCTGTTCAGTGATGGCAACCGGCAACCTAAGCTCCGGGAATAGGAGTGGTGAACCATATTAGGCCCGGTAAGACCAGGCGTTGTATAGAACCGGGAGACAGCAAAGCCGCCTACCACTAATATGCATCGTGTAAATCGAATTGTGACTCATGGAATGCATAGCAAAATGTAGCGATCGATGTAACTACTTAAAAGTGCTGCATCAGAGTCGTGGACTATGGACAACATCGAATTCTCTTAAGGACCCTTACTGAAAGAATAGAACTGGAAAAAAATACGAAATACTTGGATTTCTTGTTCACATGACCCCCACGAAAACATAAACTGGAGGACAAACAAGTTGTATAAGCAATTGCAGTGTATAGAAAATAAACAGTCGCGAGTGCCATTGTGATATTTGTGGGTTAAACGCCCAATAGTGCAATCCACTTTGGAGCGAGATAAAGAGATAAACGGACAATTAATGGCTTCCATGAAATACAAATTGGGAATAACTTGATTGGCTATCATGGGACTTGATAGTTGGACAAACTGGGAGCGATTTGATGGTGACAAGCAAGGCTTTACCGTTTAACGCGGAAGACAAATAATGATAGAATGACATCTTATGTACTGCCGATTTTGTTTTCATTTGCGAACTTTTTATGATTTGTCATACAAATTCGGATTCAGTTGTGGCTGAGCAACTGTATGAAGATCAGCACTGGCTGGTAGGATTGAGCGCTGAGAGAAGAAGTTGCACTGCTGTCGCTCACGTGAAGGGCCAAAAGAAGCACTAATTTTACTTCTCTACTGATAAGCAAATAGTCCAGTATGAAGCGGTCTGGCTTTTAATGAAATCGAAGGAATATAACTTTTTTCTGAACTCATTGCTCACTTGTTTGAGCATACAAATTCTCCATAAGGTTGACCGATACCAACACTGGGCTTGCACATACCCACAAAGGTGGGTAATTACGAATCGTAGTACGTAAACGTGTAACCGACGAGGTACGAATGTACGTCCCTCATAAAACAGATTGCCTATGGGATTGTGTGTGTTTGTGCATGCATGTTTGTTGGCATATGCGTATGTGTGCTCACCAACAAACTCATGTTGGGACCAGTCACATTTGTCCTCACGTGCGTGTAACCACACCACCATGGTGTTTACATATGGTCAAACATGTGTGCAAAAACTTTCTGGCGGTGCTACCCGCATGACAAGAGCCAATACATGGCGACGTCGCCTAATCGCGCACCCAACCAGACAACCAGTCATTTTCATTCTTTCGGTTGCTTTTCTCAATGCACGCATTCATGCACACAGGCAGGCACACACGCACGTGCATACACACACACACACACACTCGCTCGACGGACCAAAAAGACAAATCGTCGTCTGTGACAAACAAGTCTTTGACAAATAGCCCGCCAAACCGAATTCTGTTCCCAGTCGTGCGGTTTCTTCTTTCATCTCCACGGCCAGATGACCGAGTTTGAGGCCTCACCGAGGTCTAAGCAAAGACCGACAGACTTGGACGTGAATATGCCACAAACTTGCTGTCGTACAGTGTTCTCGGCCAAATGTTTACAGGCATTTGTTGGCAGCAGTTGGGGCTTCTTGACCAACGTTGAGCGAGCTATTATTATGCCTAGTCTGTGGCTTTATTTACAAACAAACTGGAGCGAGGAAGCGGCAAAACAGTTCTACGCGGCCACTTTGGCCGCGTTCTGTTTGGCTATTCTGTTAGTCACTCCATTGATCGGATATGCTGCGCACAAAGGGGTTCGAACGCATGTGTTATTGCTCTGTTCGAACCAGATGGAAATATTTGGTAACGTGATGTATCTGATTGGGTCCAGTCCATGGGTTGTGCTTGCTGGACGGTTCATTTCCGGAATCGGGGCTTGTTGTGATCCACCACTGTACTCCGACATGGTCAAGTTGACCACAACCAAAGAACGTACCTCGTTTGTGATAGCCATGCTGTTACCCCGACAAATCGGTCTCCTTTTCGGTCCCGCTTTCACCATTCTGATGCACAAAATGAACTTCACTGTGGGCAATTTCAACATTAATGTGTACAATGTGCCCGGTCTGTTAATGGCCACGTTATGGGGTTTGCATTGCATTTTCGTGGTTGCCTGCTACCCGAATGTGGAGAAAATTATTAATACGTCGGAAACACCGACATCCGGACCGGTGACATTTTCCAGTCGAGTTCGGGGATATTTCTTCGCTCCACCGAAATCGAAGAAACAGGCGGACAGTAAACCGATGCTGGCGGACAGTGCGGATTCGCACGACGCGATGGAGGAACACGTGATACGCAAACCACCGGCCGCCAATCGATGCTCGGACTGTTCGTGTTCATCGTACTGTGAATCGCTGCGACCATACTTCAGTTTTCCACTGATCGTGATGTATTTGCTCTGTTTCATGGTGAACTTTACGACCATGTGTTTGGAAGCGGTTCTGCCACCGGTGTCGGAGAAACTATTTGGTTGGTCGGAAGTAGAAATCAGCTGGACATATCTAGCTGCCGGTGCAGTGGTTCTAATAGTGTTTCTGTGCATCCGATGTCTGACCGTGTACGTCCGTGATAGAACCATACTCAGTTTCGGTCTGATTGTACTGCTGATTAGTTACATTTGGTTGTCCTGTTGTATGTCTTTTCGTCCGATCCCGGAAAAGTTTGTGAGCATCGCAATGTCTATATGTGGACTATTTTTGCATGTAGTCGGTTTACCCATGGTTGCGACCAGCTCAGAATCCCTCTACAGCAAACTGGCTCCAAACGATGATATGGATCGAGCGCAAACCATATACCGCACAGTCGTGAATGTGGGATTTTTTGCCGGACCTTATGTGGGTGGATCATTGACCGAGGCACCGTACGGTGCATTTATCCTCATGCTTTTAATTGTATTCGTCCCGTTCGTGTGTTTATGTGTGGTCTATGAGAAATTCATTCCGCCCATTGAGGTGGAAGAGGAAGAAAACGAGGTTATCTAACGCATCCAAGTGAACCCATTGATCATCCGCAGAACTTGTTTCTCACTACCTCCACCTTCGTCATAGCGACCATGATGATCTCCGTGCATTCTAACTCATTCCTTCAACTGCTCAAAGAAATCAAAACCTACTTCAAAGGAGTATAGCTTTTATGCGCCTATCTTTGGTTGGCATACACAAGATGCCCAATAACATTCCAATTCCTGTGATTTTGCGCAGGCTCGGGTCAACCATCTACTGTTCCTCAACCGCCGGTGTAACTGTTCCGCCCCAGGGTGTGGAATTACGCAATAATGTGGTTCATGGATTTTTAGCTCATGTTGCATTCAGTATCCCTCACCCCGCATCCCATACACATACCGCTCCAATCATGTGCATACGAACGGCCAACTTCACTGTCTAACTGCTGTTTGAATAAGCTTGGGAAGAAAACGTAAGTGACCTATGATATTGTTTTGGATCTGTTAAGAAGAGAAATCTTATTTTGTCGGTTATTAACCTAATGAGTCAACACAGAAACTACACACACACACACACACAAACTCTACTTTTCTTTTGGGCCGATCTTGGAATCACTGTGGCTCCTTCCTTGTTTACATCATAGTAACGGCAAAATAAAGTTTACCGTGTGCACTGTTGTTTCCCCCATATGGATGGCATTTCACCTAATTCGATAGACCAGAAGAGCTGGATGATGCAAGTACCGTTCAATGTTTTTCTCACTCTGCTCATAGGGAGTTTCATAGAACCAAAAACGTAGCGATTTTTTTGGCATGCAAAACGCTATCCATTGAACTCCTTGGGCAAAGGAAGTGAAATCAACCGATTAGGCTCATCCCAGTGTGATCGGTTTCTCGGAGAAACGTAATGGAAACGTTTAAAATACCATGTTATACTATTTCCCGATCAAACGGTTGTTGAACCGTCTCATCATCAACAAGAACAAAGATGAAATTTGAACAATCAGCTGATCCGCACTAAAGTTCGCACTCCTAAGGGATTATTGTGTTTGTATTTTCTATTTGTTTCGCTTGTGTAAGCTTATATGCTTGCATTTCAATTGAAAAAGTACACCGATCGTCACGCGGAATAAATTGTACAGTCTCATATAACATACAGGGTGAAGAAAGAATATCGCTGAAGTCTGTTTCATATACGACAGTTCTGATGTAACTCTCTTGCGACCTTTTTTCTCCATAGAACTCTGACCAGGTAAGGTAAAAGAGAATTGTTATAAATGTTAGTACGAGAATATAGATTCCGAAAAGATGAGCATGTGTATCAACGGGAACGATGAAATGATAGATTGGGATGTAGTGGATGAAGAGAGTCGTTTAGCATCTTATTGACAAGTTTAACACAAGAGTTGTTGTGATCATTAATTAGTCCTGTGATCAATGAATCGATCGATTAATGTTACACGACACCAGAGGGGTGAATTAGCGTAGAATTGGTAAAATTCATTAGTGAACGAAAGAGTACAAAACTGACTGTGGGGTTAGGAGTTGCCCAAGTTTGCGCAACTGAAAAGAGGAGGGTCTCAGATTTCCGATACCATTGCAAATGCGTATGGACCACCGAAGATTACTGTCAACAGTGACACCCAGTGCCACTTGACTGAGTTCGCTCTAGACACAAATTTACAGTTAAGGGTAACAGAATCCGGTGGTTATGAAGAGCGGGAAAAACTGTAGATGCACTCTAGGCGCAAAGACCAAGACCAGATTTGTTGGAAAACTGTTGGATATCGGATCAATTTTCAGTGAAAGAACCGAATTCCGAAGGAGAGAAAATCGTCTGGCACAAAATGGCATAGTCAGCATACACTTGGATGTGTGCAGGGGCTAGGATCGAAAGATCAGTAGTAGAAGCAAAAATAATATGGGACTGGAAAAGCACATTGAAGAACAGCAAATTTATTAACAAGAGGTTTGATTTTTTCATTTACAGTCTGGTGCACTGGATCCTGTCGGTGAAATAGTCAGCAAGCAATGAGGGCAGCTGTCTCCGAGTGCCAGAAGATTCAAGGTTGAAAAGAAGGACTGATTGAGAAACAATCAAATACAGATGACTAAACGGAAAAGACAAAACGTACAGACTTGGCCGAATTGTTCAATGGCTTACTGATACATTCAGTTCACGTTAATTCATAAGCAACAGGTTCTCTGCATTCTTTGCGTTTTTAATTTTTTCTTCATTTTGCGCAACTTTGATTATTCCCATAACTGTAGGCTGCTTAGATGTAGCAAAAGAAATGCCATAATTGCATTGAGAAATATTTTCTGTTGGGGATGTAAGCACTAAATTCATTTGACCCCTGACGTAACCAAATTCGATCGAAGGTATTCACCTTCTCAAAATAGGACCGTTTTCCTTTAGATTGTACGTGATTGCAACGGAGTCAGATTCACGTTCTCATAATGTGCGTGCAGTAAATCGTTATTGCGTGGTTATCAATGTATTTTAATAGTAAAGCTGGCTTGCTAGCTGGCTGGCTGGCTGGTTCACTGGTTGTCTGGCTGGCTAGATGGCCTGCTGACTGGCTGGGGTATAGTATACCTAGCGATCAAAAATTTCAAACGACCAGTATCGTTTGAACTTAAAACGGTAATATATTCCTTTTTAGTTCCTTAAAAGGGGCAAAGGCTTTCTAATTACACCGAGAGATTCGCTGAGTTTCAGATTAGCTGAATTTTTCTTGAAAATTCATTCGTTTGTTTTGAGGAAAGAGTCAAAATGCGTCACATTATAAATTACTAGCTTCCAATAAGATTTTAAAAAGATGATATTTTCAACAAGATCTAGGTCGGTGAGCAGTATATTCCATTGAGTTCTGATTGTTTCGGATTTTTCAGCGGTTGGTTGAATCTGTTAGTGTAATCAGAACGATGTTGGTGGTGGTGGTGGTGTTTGGATTTAGCACCTACGTATGAGACTAATCTGGGATTTAACTTGGTCAAGTGAGTTTGCGTAAAGTTGTCCGGATGTGACAGAGCTCATACACACACGCACATGAATGTTCTCATTCAACTTACAGGTATTTTGAGTATTGGCGTAATGTAAATTATACTGATATAAACTGCCTTCATCTCAACCCGCAATCATCAATTCACCCAATACACGATGTGCGCGGGAGTCACCGGACTTGGGTTTCGCTGTTCTTTGAGTTTTTTATCAGTAGCGCGTATCCACCATACCTTCCGGTTTCAAACTCAGGATTCATCGCATGGAAGGTGTGTTGCCACTGTGCCAACCGGCTCACACTGAGACTGACCAGAGCTGCTCATTCATGTTTGTTCGTTTTGTTCGTTTTTAGAGGCAGTCAGTCAGACACTTTTTCAATAGGCTGGAAGTTTTAATTTGGTGAGAGGTTTTCGACAGCAGTGGTCTCCTTGTTGTCATTTTTCATCGAGTCAGAATGCTTGAAAGGGTATGTATTCACACTTAGATTGTGTACTCTGTGTGTTGACCAAAGTGGTTCACTTTCTTCGCTTCCCTCCAGTTAGGCCCAATCCATCTCCATTTTGCACTTTATCGCCTAATTTGTTTACATTGTGAGCTTGGCAGCGATCAGTGAAGTTCGCTTCACTGTATCTTGCTGTTCAATGATGATGATGATGATGATGATGATGATGATGATGATGATGATGATGATGATGATGATGATAAGTTTTTGACTGGAGTTAACAGATAGTTAACTGTGTCTCCTTTCGTTTCTGCGAGGTCCAAGTAACTGACTGACTAGCATTGAAGACAAATTCTGAGCAAATGTTGGATTTATAATTCGGGTCAACCCCGGAGTGTAGTAATATGCGGTAGCCGACATGCTTTCCGTGTTATGTGACTGTAGATCAAACTCCTAACGGTGAAGGGGAGGTTGATGCGACATACCAAATAACTCGAACGAGAGAGAGAATCTGGAGTCTGGTGCTTTCAAAGTGTATGACTGACTGGATGAACTGAGGATTAGGCATCAAGAGGAAGTTCGAGGGGCCGATTTGGGTAAATCAGATTATCGGTGTGTCTAATTCAGTGGCTTTCAAGAAAAAGTCATATTGTCATTGTCACTGAATGAGGCCTGCTGCTGCTTGATATGGTTGAAAAGCAAGATAAAACTATTAACGGAGTTATTTTTCTTCCGTATTGGCTCCATCTCATTGATCATCATTCAGTTTACAACATATACGAATGATACAAGCGACCGAAAATCGATGCAGTGGCTGTTGGGTCGGGATGAAGCGTGATCCCGGGTATGCCTGCATGAACTCTGTCTTATTTTAATGTGTCTATTCATTCCCCCGTTGTTATCATTGTTGCTACTGCTGTTATTTTGATCCGTTCGTGAACGCCATATTTGGAGAGTTTAGAGGTCGTATGACCATTGAATAATTTGACGACCACTGCCATTCCATCCAGTTTTGGCAATGTATGAGTCCAATTTCGAAGCCGCAAACGAGGGATCGTAAATTCCCTTGGTCCGTTTTTGAAGTTATTGTTGTATGTGCTTCTATCAGTCTCATTATCTCTCTTTTCTGTCTCATTTCATTATCAGTGTTCACGAAATCGCTAGGCCTCAACTGTGCATGACCGTGTTCGCGCATTGCCGTAAAATCTGAGTAGATACTTAAGTAGGGCGCTTATTGTATGATGCACTCAATTGGGCGTTTTATGCCTGTGTATTTGATCTATCTTTTCTACACCTTTTCCCATCAAGCCCGCAATCCTTTAGCCAAAATCCGAAATGCTTTAACCAAAACCTGTGGTCCTTTAGCCTCGACGCACAAAAGTTAGTCACGCCGCAGCAGGCGAGTCAGATCCAAAAGTATCGGAATATTCTGAAATCAACGGATGTTGAAAAGAATTATTTTCTACAAATGTTGGTGTTGCAAGTCATCGGTAAGTAATGAAGAAGTGTGGGGGTTGCATGCTGCAGCCCGTTGAATGGAGAAGGTTTAAACGATGAGCCCGTATCGTCAAACCATTTGTTCCATCTCGTACAG